TATATATATATATATATTTCAGATTCTTTTTCATTGTAGTTATTACAAGATATTGAATATAGTTCCCTGTGCTACATCCTTGTTGTTTATTCTGTATATAATGATGAGCATCTGTCAGTCCCATGCTCCTCATTTATCCCTCCCACTCCTTTCCCCTTTGGTAACCTTGTTTGTTTTCTAAGTCTGTAAGTCTGTTTCTGTTTACTATCTCACGTTAGCTGCCTCCGATTGCCCTCAGGGCATTCGGGCCCGGTCCTTACCCTAAGCAATGCCGCCCGCTCCTCTCTGGTGGCGGATGCGGGCGTCTGGGGTACTTCTCTGCTGGGAGTTGCTTTTAGGCATGTAATCTGTGGGTTTTATTTATTTTTCCTCCCAGTTAGGTTGCCCTCCGAGATTCGAAAACTTCCCCCAGACCCGCCCGTGAGAGGGTTCCTGGTGTTTAGAAACTTCCTCTATTAAGACTCCCTTCCCGGGATGGCTCTCTGTCCGTAGCTCTTTTGTCTCTCTTTTTATCTTTTATATTTTGTCCTACCTCCTTTCGAAGACCATGGGCTGCTTTTCTGGGCGCCTGATGTCTCCTGCTAGCGGTCAAAAGTTGTTTCGTGAAGTTTGCTCAGCGTTCAGATATTCTTTTGATGAATTTGTAGGGGAGAAGGTGGTCTCCCTGTCCTATTCCTCCGCCACCTTGGCTCCTCCGTCTGTTTCTGTTTGTAAATAAGTTCATTAGTGTTATTTTTTAGATTCCACATGTAAGTGGAATTATATAATGTTTGTCTTTATCTGATTTACTCTACTCCGTATGATGATCTCTGGTCCATCCATGTTGCTGCAAATGGCAGTATTTCGTTCTCCTTCTATGGCTGAGTCATATTCGGTTTTATGTATGTACCACACCTTCTTTATCTGTTCATCTGCTGATGGACATTTAGGTTGTTTGGTGTCTTGGCTATTGTAAATAGTGTTGCTATGAATATTGGGGTGCATATGTCTTTTCAAATGAGAGTTTTCATCTTTTCTGGATATATGCCCAGGCGTAAACTTGCTGGATCATATGGTAACTCTGTTGTTGGTTTTTTAAGGAACCTCCATGCTGTTAACATAGCACCTTTTATACTTCACTCTTTCTTAATTTGACAGTCTAGCCAGTTTAATGTTAAAATTTTTCTTTGCACCAACTATAACGGACTAGCTTTTCTTTTTCTTTCGAGGTAGAAAGGGAATATAATATATACCTTTCTTTGGAATGGAATGCAGACTAGTGAAAATACCCAGATTCTCATAGAAGTACTTTAGCTGCCTCATGCTATAATTAATAATCTGGTAATTGCAGATGATTTTACTTTTTTATGCAACCCTTACTGTTTGGAAGACCTGTGACGTGACTCCTTTCTTCTCTGTCAATAATACTTTCCTATGTTTAAGACAAAGGTTGAAGAAATAAAACTCTGTAAGTTTTTATGAGATTTTTCTTTAAAAAAAAAAAACCCTCGAAACTATGGAGTTTAGATATTTTTGCTCCTTTGACTCTATTCTAAATTGGTGAGCGCTTATTGTCATGAGGATTGTAATGGAATTATTTGGGGCAAGGACAGTACCATCCATTTGAAGAAAGCAATATGTCTTTATGTCAGCCTAAAAGAATAATACAAGTCCTTACCCAATTTCCCAGGCCTGTTTTGCCTGCCCATTCAGTGACATGTTTGCCAACGCAGTGAAAGGAGGGAGCAAAGAGCAGAAAGTTTGTTAAGCATATACTTAAAATGAGGTCATGGAAATTGCACTGAGGAGAAGAAATGTAAGACTTGCAGTGTTTTCCACAAGAGCTGATTAAAATTCCAAATGTGCTCTTGGTATGCTGTCGTTTGAGGAAACTTCTATATAAAAGTTGACATTCAGAAACCTGTTACTGGTAAATGATCAGCTTGTCTTTGTGCCCAGTTTTGCTCACATAAATTCTGTTTTTCAGATATGAAACACAGGATAAACACCTTTTACGTGTTAAGGTGATTTTCCTATGCTGCTTGTATTGACTTGTTATGCATTTGAAGAGAAAAGAGCAGCCTAATTGTTAGATTTCTGAAATCATAGGCATAAAGGATCTTCACGCAGACCATGCTGCCAGTCACATTGGAAAAGCACAAGGCATTGTCACTTGCTTGAGAGCCACACCCTATCACAGTAGCAGAAGAAGGGTTTTCCTTCCCATGGATATTTGTATGCTGGTAAGGCTGTCACTTGTACTCCTAATCATTTACCTTAAGAATATGGGGAGGGACATTCTCTTCTTATTTCTTTAGTCTGTAACTTCTTTGAAACGCATGCTTATTGCATTTTTGCTCTAGAGTTATCAAGTCATCATTTTATCAGTCAGGCATTCTAGGTCCTGGTGGAGCTGTGTGTAAGAAGGTCCAGAGAACCTCACTTGGTGTAGCTTCACTCCCTTCCCAGCAATTACATAATTAGTCCTAGTGTTCACCTTAGCCTGTTCTTTTAAAGGAGGAAGTAATCCTTAGGAAAGAATACTGTTTATGAGGACCTTTGTTTTCTGGATGAGGTTCATTATTCTGTTCTTTTAAATTTCTTAATCTGTTAGTTTATTTTGTTCCAGATACAGCTGTTTACTTAGCATCTTGTTGCATATTCTCCTAGAAGAGACAGTGTGTTTGTGTGTGACACGTACATATAGCTATATTTTAAAAGCCAGAAGAGGCATTTTACTGTACACATTGTTCTAACACCTGTTGTCTTGAGCTGAGTTAGTTTTAAGTGTGCTTTTTGATTCCTAACATAATGCGCGTTTTCCTGTGTAGCATGGTGTTTCACAAGAGGATTTTCTACGGAGGAGTCGAGATAGAAACGTGCGAGATGTGGCGTATGACGTTGCCAGCCAGGCACAGCTGCACCTAAAGCGCGTGAGTAGCCCCCTTCGGCGGAATCACTGAAGAGACCATCATTGCTAGCCGTGGCTACTCCTAAGGCGTGCTGGTAGCATTTTTTTAAGTTTAACAATGCATATCCATTGCTCACTGAAATCCCAGCAGATGTATCTCGGGGACTACTGTAAACTTTCCCCACTTTTAAAAATCCCCCTCTCTCCTTCTCAGCTTCCTCAGTGAGGCTCCTCTGGGACCCATCCGCTCACTGTTACTCTGTCTCTCTGGGGAGAGTGTGTCTTCCTGCCTGGTCAAGGCTGACGCCTCTCCTCTTCCGCCCTTCCAGGACTCCATCCTCAGCAGTTCCCAGCTGGTGTTTTCAGCTGGCCTCTCCGACACCGTGCCCCGTTCATCTTCTGATTTGTTGCTGCTGCTTTCATCGGTGGCCCGTGAGGCCCTTCTCTTTCTTACTTTTCCCTCCCAGTTAACCCTTTTTGAAGACATGTTCTACGTTTATTTTTACCTCAAGCCCTCACCACTGTGATCTTGTTCACTGGGATGTAATTTGGCTTCCATCCTGCATACTCTAATAACCACCTCTAGTAAATCATTTCCTGTTGCCACATTTGAAAGAGTATCTGATTTATTGCATTCTTAAACCCTCTTGGTAGCTTCAACCTGATTGCTTCCAGGATATGAGTGAATGCTACAGGGATTGCCGGGAGTCCAAAGGGCTGCGCCTCTCCTAGGGCTCAGTCTTATTTCATACCTGCGACATCGCCTAAGAGAGATTTGTAAGAGGGAAATTGTGTCACCGAAACCATGGTGGTCTTTGAATCTTGCAGGTATACTCATTTGCAGGATACAATAAAGAGCAAATTTGTTGCAGCAAGTATTTTGTAACTTACCTAGGTTGCTCAGTCAAAATAGTTTCTGAAATTAAAATTTCCACTAAGTTATTAAAGCCCAGAAAGTACAAAGAAGTGATTCTCAGATTTAATACTTTGTGGTTGTTCAGTTGTTCAGTCATGTCTGACTCTGCAACCCCGTGGACTGCAGCACGCCAGGCTTCATTATCTCCTGGAAGTTGCTCAAACTCGTGTCCATTGAGTCTGTGATGCCGTCCAACCATCTCATCCTCTGCCATCCGCTTCTCTCCTCTTTAGTCTTTCCCAGCATCAGGGTCTTTTCCAGTGAGTCAGTTCTTTGCATCAGATAGCCAAAGTATTGGAGTTTCAGCTTCAGCATCAGTCCTTCCAATGAGTGTTCAGGGTTGATTTCCTTTAGGATTGACTTGTTTGATCTCTTTGCAGTCCAAGGGACTCTCAAGAGCCTTCTCCAACACCACAGTTCAAAAGCATCAATTCTTTGGCTTGGTCCAGTTTTCACATCCATACATGACTACTGGAAAAACCACAGCTTTGATTATATGGATCTTTGTTGGCAAAGTAATGTCTCTGCTTTTTAATATGCTATCTAGGTTTAATACTTACCATTACTTTAATATTTAGCAACTAATTCCGCCATAATAAGGCATTAAAAAATAAAGAGTGTCTGATTTAGGGAGGGTAGATGTTTTATATGTATGTATGTGAATGTATATACATACATATATACATATAATGAGTTTCCCTGGTGGCTCAGCAGCACAGAATTCACCTGTGATGCAGGAGATGCGGATTCGATCCCTGGCTCAGGAATCCCCTAGAGGAGGGCATGGCAACCCACGCTGGTGGTGTTCTTGCCTGGAAAATCCTGTGGACAGAAGAGCCTGGCGGGCTACAGTCCATGGAGTCGCAAAGAGTCGGACACGACTGAAGCGACACATAACAGGAAGAAGCAACTAGACTTGATAACTGGTTAGATTGTAACAGGGTCAGGGAGCAGGAAAGGCAAAGGTTTCATGAAGTTCTAATATAGACTCTGCTGGTGCCAGTCAGAGACAGCAGTAGAAAAGCAGTGGTGTGCTGGCTGCTGATCAGTAGCCTTCTGGGCATCGCTGAATTTAAGGGGATTCGGGGACGTTTAGGGAGGGGGCCAAAATGCAGATTGTAGGATGAGGACTCTAAAAGGAGGTCAGAACTGGAGATACAGCCTGGGGAGTCATCCAGATGGAAGGCTTAGGTTAAAACTCCAGGTGCGGATATGCTTTTGTCCAAAGAGAGCATATATTTAGACAAGAAGACCAAAGGCCGAACCTTGAACCCACCTCTAGTTCTCAGGTAGTCAGAGAAAGGGCCATTTATTAGGAAGAAGGAGAACTCAGAGTCAGTGTCTTGGAAACTGAGGGAGGAGCAGATTCCAAGAACGGGAAATACTGAAGTCCTGCACTCCTCCGAGAGAATGAGAAGAGGGGTATGCTGCTCAGTAAATTGTGAATGATCTTGAAGAGAGCAATTTTAGTGGATGGAGTAAGACCGGAGTATAGTGCATTGAGAAGTGTGTCAGGGAGTTTAGTTTCTGTTGCTGTAAACAAAGGCCTGTAGACAGAAGTGGGCTTGGGGAAGGTGGAGGGTTGGCATTACTCCAAGTGGGTCGAGGCTCTAGTCCAGGGCAGTAGGAAGCTGGGTTGGATAGGTGAGATTGGATTCAAGATGTGAAGGCCTTGAATTCTAAGATGAGTAGTTGAGACATGATCTATCAGTTCAATTAAACAGTGACTTTATGACATTAATTTGGCTAATTGTGTGGCATGAATTAAAGGTTGGGGAACACAGACGCAGGAACCGTGGCTGGGAGGGTCTTATACTCATCTCGATGAGAGAGGCTGACGTCCAGGCTGGGGAGGTGCTGGGACTGGTGTGCAAATACAGTTGACCCTTGCACAACCCCAAGGCTTAGGGTGCCGCCTTCCACGCTGTTAAAAATCCACAGATAGTTTACAGGCGGCCTTCTGTATCCAGGGGTCCCCTGTGTGTGGGGGCAGCAGTGGTCCAAGTTGTGGCAGCTGGAAATGCCAAAACCAAATGTCAGAAAGAATAGAATTCTTGGGACTTCCCTGGTGACTTCCAGTGACTAAAACTCCATGTTCCCAATGCACGGGGCCTGGGTTCGGTCCCTGGTCAGGGAACTGGATCCCACATGCTGCAACTGAAGGTGCTGCATGCTACACCTAAGACCTGGCAGGGTCAAATAAAATGAATAAAAAAAAATTTTTTTAAAGAAGACTAGAATTCTTAATATACTACCTTTTCCTGATATCTTTAGGTTTGGCAAGTTAATCTCAACCAGCAAGAGATAACTGTTTTCTTGTTTTCAAGAAACGCCCTAGCTATGCTGTTTGAAACTGCTGGTGTTGCTTTGTGTCCACTTTCAGAGGGAGAGGGTTAATTTCCAGAAATACTTGTCTTTCAAACCAGTTTCCTTTTGTCTTCCTTTTTAGGCTAGGTCCTTCCACAGAAGTGTTCCTGTGAAAGCATTTCCTGCTTTTCTTCAGACTGTAAGTAGATTAACAGAGAAAGTTGTTTAGTTAGTAAAGCAGATATGTATAGTCTTTTTTTTTTAAATAAGGTTTCCAGTGCAGTTCTTTAGTTTGTAGTATTTGTTTTTGTTTTCGTCCCTTAGGGTGGGTTTTATTAGTTAACATTCTGCTCTTGGTGAAGGTCGTGCCTGTGTTCCCCAGAAGCAGGTGAGTGAAATTGTCATAAGCACTGACTGCAGCCGGGCCGCATTGGTTTGAATCTGCTTTGTCACTTACTGTGGAACAAGTTCCTTAATCATTGCGTTCCTCAGTTTACCCATAGATAAAATGGGAATCACAGGAGAAACTGCCTCATAGGAGTGTTAGGCTGCTTCTAGCCATATAAGTGTGACTTAATGGTGCACTTACTAATTTTTTTCTCAACAGTGACCATATTGTAGCAGTGGTTCCTGAAAGTGCAGTGCTGAGCTGGCTGCATCAGAATCATCTTCGAAAGCCTCTTCAAAAATACTGATTCCTGGGGTCTTCTTACTAAGACTCAGACTCTTGGGGTTGTGGGGGGTGCATTCTTAAGAGGATTTGCAATGATTTTTATTTTTTTAATTACCCGGGTGATTCTGATGTGTAGCCAGGTTCAGGAACCATTGTTGTAAAATATGTTAAAAAATGAGAATAACTTCCGGTCAGTAGTACCTACTATAGGAAACAGGTTCTGAGCTAGATCATCTCATACATTATTCTTCAGTGTGGTTTCCTTCATTTTGTAGACCAAGGTTCAAAGATTTGTGATATTTGAAAATGGAAAACTCAAGCATTTTCTACAGTACCAAACATACCTTCTACCTTTCTCCCTAAAATATGTTCAAAGATTCACTTCTGTCCCTTGACATCTTTTGTCCTGAGTCTCAGATCTGAGTGTTTGAAATCATTTCGTTTCTTTACTGAGTTTACTTATTATGAAAGTAATACATTAATATTTTAGATGTTCACATAACAAGAGGCAAAAGAAGAAATTGGAATATTTTCTCAATTCCATCCTTTCCAGAGATAATGTCTGTTCATCTTTTTGAACTTTTTATATTCATATAATTATATATGTGTTTTTGGTATAAATGAGATGTCAAGCCTCTCTTTCTATGTCAACACATTCTAAATCACCATTTTTAATTGTTATTTATTTGATCATTTGGTGATGTACCATCACCTGTTTTGATTTATAAGCCCCAAGAAGATTAAAGACTGTTTTGTTCACATTTGTGGGAAAAAAAGGTTGTTCTCAACTCTGGTTGTCTGTCAGAATCACTTGAGGGAGCTTTTAAAACAAAACAATGTTGGACTTATCTCTAAACCAACTAAATCACAGTATCTAAGAGGTGGGATCTAGGCATTGATACCACTTACAAGTTCCCCCAGAAATCGTGAAGTGCATCTAGGCCAAGAACCAGTCTCTTGGGCTGGTGGCATGGTCCCTGGGCCGGCAGTATCCGCCTGGGGTCCTGTTGGAGATGCAGATTTGGGGGTCCACCGCAGACCTAATGGATCAGAGACTCCTGGGGTTGGAGCCCAGTTCTCAGTTTCCAAACTGTGCGAGGAGAAAGTGGCGGGACTGCATGACAGTTCCGGGGAGCTGCTGCTGTCCTGCTCCTCATTCCAGCCGGGGCACGTCTCACCCGTGTGTGGGGCATCTGTTCATTACTTTCTTCAAAGAAAAGGTTCTGCTGTTTAAAAATGACTTGAAAATGACTCGTCCGGGGTAGCATATGTTGTTCTCTATAGACAAGGTTTTCAGAAAAGTGAAGTGCTAGTGAAAGTCGCTTAGTTGTGTCTAACCCTTTGTGACCCCATGGACTGTATGGAATTCTCCAGACTAGAATACTGGAGTGGGTAGCCTTTCCCTTCTCCAGGGGATCTTCCCAACCCAGGGGTCAAACCCAGGTCTCCCGCTTTGCAGGCGGATTCTTTACCATCTGAGCCACAAGGGAAGCCCAAGAATACTGGAGTGGGTAAGCCTATCCCTTCTCCAGCACATCTTTCCAACCCAGGAATCGAACTAGGGTCTCCTGCATTGCAGGCGGTTTCTTTACCAGCTGAGCTACCAGAGAAGCCCATGGTTTTCAGAAGTTATATTAAGAAATTATAAGGTCTTTGAAAATTTCACAATGAATTTGTTACGTTGAACAATTTATTTGCCATTAGCCAGACTTTGCTTGGAGAAGGAAATGGCAGCCCACTCTGGTATTCTTGCCTGGAGAATCCCATGGACGGAGGTGCCTGGTGGGCTGCAGCCCATGGGATCACAGAGTCAGACACGGCTGAGTCACTCACTCACTCGCTCACTCAGACTTTGAACCCAGTCCTGATCTGTGAATGCTTGCTGCTGCTGTGTCGCTTTGGTCGTGTCCGACTCTGTGCAGCCCCGTAGACGGCAGCCCCGCTCAGTTGAGCTCTGAATTTTAAGGTCTGTTTCATCTGTCTTTTAATGAAATCTTCTGCTGATTATAAAAGCAGTATATTCTCATAATAGAGATTCAGACAATATAAAAAGAATATTAAAAGAAAATAATTATCATACCATAAATAGCACAGTTCATGGACCAAGAGACAAAAGCTATTTACTCTGTTTTGTTTTTTTTTAATGAATTTCTGTGTGTCTTTAAAATCACACTTTATATGGTAGTGTCCTATTTGTCAAGCATTTAACCACATCATTAAAAATATTTATTAATATTTAATGGCTATATAATTCTTTATTATGTGCTTGCATCTTAATTTCAGTAACTATTCCTATAATTGGATATTATAAAGCTACTAAAATGTACACAATAAAGTTCTTAGAGATGAAAAGTGAATCGCAATGTATTGAGTGATTCAGACAAGCAGGTTACAGCAGAGCCCCGTGGTCGGGGGTCCTCCCGGTGCAGGGGTGTGCAGGCTGACCCCTGGTCTAGGAGGGTTCAACACGCTGCAGGCAGCCAAGCCCGTCCCCAGAGCCAGAGAAGCCTGCATGCCACGGCCAAAAAAGTTACAGAACACTGTGAACAACATGAGCTTTTTCCCCAGAAAACAGAGAGAACATGTGAGAGTCCACTAAAATACCTTCAGAGGTTTTCCTTATATTCTCTTTTAAAGTGTTTTTTATTTGATCTCTACAAATGAATATGTCTATATAATGTATGCATGTATTGTGAAGCGTAACATAATGAATACGCATGAACTCACTGCTCCATCCAGGAACTAGAATATTGCTGTTTCATTGCGCTCACGTGCTTTCCCCATCTCATCCCCTTACTTCTGCCTTCCTCCTCCAGGTAGCTGTCCTGAACTTGGTATTTATTACTCTAAAAATGCTTTTCCCATTTTATATATTCCTAACCAGTATGTTGCTTAGTTTTGTTTTTGAGCTTTGTAAAAATGGATCATTTTCTGTTTATTTCTTCTAGGTTACACACACACACACACACACACACACACACACACACACACACACATAATGTTGCTGCGATTTATCCATATTATTCCATCTAAATACATTTTAATTTCACTACAGCTTAATATTTCATCATGTGAACATTTTATTTATTTGTTTCTGTTGAAGAACTTCTGGATTGTTTCCAGGTTTTTTGCAGCTGCATGCATTCATGCACATATCTGATGCGTGTATATAAGTTGAGAGTTTCAGAAGTAGAGACTGAATTTATATGTAAACTTACTCGTTGATAGTGTATGGAAGAAAATCCTGGGAGAAAGCACAGTCCTGGGTGGGACACCAGGTTGTGCCGCAGAACTCCAGGGGGCGCTGTGCACATGGGTGAGAGGGCGATGGGACTGCTTCGCCTTGTGCAGTGCCAAACTGGGAGCTTCTCTGTGTAATAAGGAAATTACTGCAATATGATAAAAATTTACAGATTAGTAACATTGAAAACCATGAAGAGCACGGCCCATCGACAGTGTCTTCCGACCTGCCCCCGCCCCCCCAATCCCAGGGAAAACTTTGCCAAGTTTTGTGTGATGGGGGAGCATGGCGTGACCTTTAAGGGACCTGTGGTGGTTCTCCCTGGTTGCAGATTTTCTTCTAACAAAAATATGGAGACTCTGAACTTTTTCACAAAATAACTGTTTTAAACAACTTGGGCTCCCGCTCATGGCACAGTGCATTTCTGTGGGGGGTGGGGTGTGTGTGTTCCCTTTTCCTTAATTGAAACACCCCTTTTGTATTCTACAGAATCTAGTAGTAAATCATTCCTTTTTTTACATTTTGACCAGAACACTATAAATTATGATCAGAATTGGCTTGGTATTTCTAGTCCTAGCTCTGTGATACAGTTTTACTAGCTTCATAACTTCCAAACTTCTTAGAAGATGTCTTTATTTTCTCTCTCTTAAAAATTCTCGTTTACAGTCTTAGCATGCAGAAGACCATCTCAGGAAGACTAAAGTAGCCTTAATACCTGCTGGTTTTATTTTTGTTTCTTTAAAAGACTTAATCTGTATGATCTGGTGACGGTTATTCTCTTTTTCCAGGTTGCTCTGGAGGACTATTTAAAGAAAATTCAACAAGTGGATTTTGATCTATTCCACCCATCTTTACAGCGGAAGAATACTTTGCTTCCATTATTTTTGTATATTCAGTCATGGAGAAAAAGATACTAAAATAATTTCATGGCACTGATATTTATTAGTTTTATGAAAGTGTCCTTAGTTTAGGGTTCTTGTTGACACACAACAGGAACTACTTAAGGAGAAAATGAATTTATCGGGTGAGCGTGTAGGTCACAGAATGGATGGGAAGCTGCTGTGGGGCCTGGGGGCCAGGATTCTGCCCCAGGCCCGGCCCTTGTCGCAGCAGCGGAGCCTGTCCTGGGGAGCGGAGCCCCCGGGGGGAGCCCAGTTCCCGCTGTGCTGAGGCTGCAGGCCCTGCTTCTGCCGCCAGAGGGCGGGGGATGGCTCCTCCCCTCCCTCTCTCACCGTTCAGAGGACCCAGGAACGGGCTGAAGTTAGGACTGGGTCTGTATGCTGAGCAGCCAGGCCCCAGGCATCTGGTACAGCTGGGAAATGCATTTATTTAAGAATCACGAAGAGTGAAGTGAACATCAGTATTTGAGGAGTGTCAGTCGCTATTTTGAGGTCCTTTATATCTCTTAACATTTATTAAAGTAGAGAGTGAATTTATATGTAAACTTACTCGTTGATAGTGTATGGAAGAAAATCCTGGGAGAAAGCACAGTCCTGGGTGGGACACCAGGTTGTGCCGCAGAACTCCAGGGGGCGCTGTGCACATGGGTGAGAGGGCGATGGGACTGCTTCGCCTTGTGCAGTGCCAAACTGGGAGCTTCTCTGTGTAATAAGGAAATTACTGCAATATGATAAAAATTTACAGATTAGTAACATTGAAAACCATGAAGAGCACGGCCCATCGACAGTGTCTTCCGACCTGCCCCCGCCCCCCCAATCCCAGGGAAAACTTTGCCAAGTTTTGTGTGATGGGGGAGCATGGCGTGACCTTTAAGGGACCTGTGGTGGTTCTCCCTGGTTGCAGATTTTCTTCTAACAAAAATATGGAGACTCTGAACTTTTTCACAAAATAACTGTTTTAAACAACTTGGGCTCCCGCTCATGGCACAGTGCATTTCTGTGGGGGGTGGGGTGTGTGTGTTCCCTTTTCCTTAATTGAAACACCCCTTTTGTATTCTACAGAATCTAGTAGTAAATCATTCCTTTTTTTACATTTTGACCAGAACACTATAAATTATGATCAGAATTGGCTTGATATTTCTAGTCCTAGCTCTGTGATACAGTTTTACTAGCTTCATAACTTCCAAACTTCTTAGAAGATGTCTTTATTTTCTCTCTCTTAAAAATTCTCGTTTACAGTCTTAGCATGCAGAAGACCATCTCAGGAAGACTAAAGTAGCCTTAATACCTGCTGGTTTTATTTTTGTTTCTTTAAAAGACTTAATCTGTATGATCTGGTGACGGTTATTCTCTTTTTCCAGGTTGCTCTGGAGGACTATTTAAAGAAAATTCAACAAGTGGATTTTGATCTATTCCACCCATCTTTACAGCGGAAGAATACTTTGCTTCCATTATTTTTGTATATTCAGTCATGGAGAAAAAGATACTAAAATAATTTCATGGCACTGATATTTATTAGTTTTATGAAAGTGTCCTTAGTTTAGGGTTCTTGTTGACACACAACAGGAACTACTTAAGGAGAAAATGAATTTATCGGGTGAGCGTGTAGGTCACAGAATGGATGGGAAGCTGCTGTGGGGCCTGGGGGCCAGGATTCTGCCCCAGGCCCGGCCCTTGTCGCAGCAGCGGAGCCTGTCCTGGGGAGCGGAGCCCCCGGGGGGAGCCCAGTTCCCGCTGTGCTGAGGCTGCAGGCCCTGCTTCTGCCGCCAGAGGGCGGGGGATGGCTCCTCCCCTCCCTCTCTCACCGTTCAGAGGACCCAGGAACGGGCTGAAGTTAGGACTGGGTCTGTATGCTGAGCAGCCAGGCCCCAGGCATCTGGTACAGCTGGGAAATGCATTTATTTAAGAATCACGAAGAGTGAAGTGAACATCAGTATTTGAGGAGTGTCAGTCGCTATTTTGAGGTCCTTTATATCTCTTAACATTTATTGTTTCCCACCCTGTGAAAATCTGTCCATGATGATAAAATGACTTCTTTAGGGTAAGGTGGCAAGCTGTCAAGAGCTCCAGTCCTAATGTGATTTTAGGTCTTGTCTGACTTGAAGGCTTTTACTTTTTTGTTTTCCTTTCTGCTTCACTCTCTGTCATCGAGCATTATCATCATGAACAAAACTCTTCTTAACAAAATGTGTGCTAATGTAAATTAAATTAACAAAATTGTGTTAAAAATTCATTAAGGGGATACTCCGTTTTTAAAGACAAGTACACTAGTTGAGCTTCCCGGTAAAAAGCTCTGTGCCATGTGCTTTGACCAGTGTTCTCGCCTGATTTCCAAAACTATGAAACAAGGAACATTTTTGGTAATTAAAAAGTTTTAATTATAAAATACATACTCATTGCAAAAAGCAATTGTTTGCATCTTGTAGTTGGCAGATCTGGATTCTGAATGAGTCTCTAGCTCTCAGCACCAGAATTGCACCCTAGTTTTCTTTTCCTGTCTATTCTTTTCTTTCCTGTCTTTTCTCCTGCCCACTCCTGCCTCTGTTGTACCATTTCTCTGTCCCATCTCGAGTCTTTGGTTTCAGCTATGAATAAGTGCCTGCTTCAATTGTGAATTAATGATGGCTTAAAATATTACATTTTTCACAAATAAAACTCAACACTGAGAGCTGCTTAAGAGCAGAAATACATTGTTTTATTCTTCTTGGGATCCACCAGTTCTTAGTATGGCTTTTGATTTAGAGCAAGTGGAGGTTAATAAATGTATAAATGAATGAGCATACAGTGCAGTTGTTTATGTTAGTGTACTTTTGGTTTATACTGATGATGAAAGAAGCAAAACCCACAGAAATGGGACACATTTCCTGTTGGAATTCTGAATGGTCCAGAGTTGAAAAGTTCATTAAAGACGGTCTTTATTAGTAAGCATTGTCTTTGGATCTTACCAGGTTAAACTTGGCAGCCGTTGGCAACTAAGCATCTTAGTTCCTTCTAAGAAGGGTTAAGAAGAAGGGTTTAAACACTCAACTGGATTACTGGATTTTTCACTGGCTCAGAAGCCAATTTACTGTTAAGCAAATAATTTCAAAATGCTTTCTAAGTCCTTTTAAATTTGATGCTTAGAGATTTGGATGAAGTTTCCAGTCTCCTAGAGACTGAGATAGGTTATTATTCATTGATGTTTACTGTACTATTAATTTCCTGGCATTAAAGATACTCCGTTAGATGGTGCCAACATTGCTTTTTATTTTTCAGATCTGTTTTTTATTAGAGCATTTAAAGGAGTCAGATACAGTTTCAAACCATGTAAGACACATTTTGATACTGAATAGGTGGAGAGCAACAGATAACAAATGTTAAGTATTAATCTCAATGTAGGTAACGTTGCTTATCATAAAATACATTTGAGTAGTTCCCCAATCAGCTAGCATTATTTTTTCTGTCCTTTTGGTTAAACCTCTCCTTCTGATGAAAGTTAAATGTCTCCTGAGAAATAAAGCAGCAGTTGACACTTCGCACAGACTTGCACAGGTGATGTGCTCCGCGCTCCTTTGCTTTAATCTTCACAGTGAAGTTGGTCTTTATTTTCCGAAGGATAAAACTGCCTCAGTTCCAGGTCACGCAGCCATTAGAACTAGAGTTGGGTGCCAAACCCACATTAGTTCAATGCCAAAGCTCACAGCCCATATATTTTTTTGCCATTCTTGAGATTGTAAAATAGACAGCCAAGTTTAAAGCTCAAGGGCACGACTTTTTTTTTCTTTTTTTTTTTTTTAAGAGATAAGTATTACTGCATAAATTTTAGGTACAAATTGGGCTAAAAAGTATATCTACATATATTCTAACTACAGATTAGAGAAGTAAATAGGCAATTGAAATTGATACTACGTGCTGGTCACTGGGTGTAGACAGGAGGGACACATAATCACTTTGGAGGTCAAAGGTTTCCCGGAGGAGGGGACACGTGAGAAATTTCAGGAAGCTGGGTTAGGAGTCAGGTTTTGGGAAGGGGGTGCAGGTGGTGTGGGGAGGTCCCGGCTGAGGAAGCAGTAGGAACAAAGGCCAGGAGGCAGAACTGATACAGCCTCTAGCAAGAATCTTGAGTTTTTGGCTTCAGCTTACTTAAGTGAAAAGAATATAATGTTCAGAGTTCTTAAGAAAGTTTGTGACTAAAAACTGACTACATCTCCTAAACCAGTGAAACGTTTTGAATTAAGATCACCAACTTGGGAGTTTATATCTTGCCTGTTGCACCAGATGCCATGGTGTCCTTGGGTTTGTTTTAGCTGCACTGGCCTGATGGATTGCCTTGTCCGGAAAGATCCACAGAGGTGTAAACATTACGCTGACAGTTACTGAAAACCAAATGTTATCCTGCTGGTTGGAGGACTAATAGTAAACCACATGCATCCAGAATTGGGAAGGGTGTTGGAGATAGACTGGAAGGAGGGGAGAGGAGGTGGGGAGTGGTTGTGAGAATACCATGAATATCTTAAACACTTCACTGTCCCTGCTTTCTTCTATACTGAACATGTATGTCTTGGGGTAAAACTGCAAAGTTCTTTCTAAAGAATTAGAACCTTCAAATGAGAAAAATGATTGTAAGCAAGGAATGTGATGAAATTTATGAAACGGTGAACAGATGGGCAGATTTTTTTTTTTTGCATCAAGTCTGTATATACCGATTAAGAGTTTGTTCAACAACAAAAAGGAGTGATACTTGGCACATTGTTAAATATGTAACTCATTATATAGTATACACTGAATAAAGGAATTTTGAAAGTTTAGATACAGTAGTCTGATGCTGTGAAGTACTGCTCTGAAGGAGCCTGACTGGGTTCAAGCTCCAGTCTCACCACTCAAACAGCCCTGTAACCTCAGCAAGTTATGAGAACCCTCCAGTGCCTTGTTCCACTTGTAAAATGGGAAGAATCACAGTATCAGCTTCAACATGTAAAAGGCCTAGAAGAGGGACCTACATGGAGTAAACACTAAATGATGTTGTTAACCTTAGTATATAGAAGACCGGCACACTTTGATTTTCAGGCATGGCATTTAAAAAAGAAATTTAATGCCTTTAGATCAGACAGTTATCAGCGTGAGCTATTATCTCACTCCCAGCCTGATAAATTCATGTTACCTGCTTGCTCTGTAAGACTTGAGTTTGCAAACGGTGGTTTAGGAGAATTTGCGAATGATGGATTAATAACAAGTGATTACAAATAACTGGAGGCTGGCCACACTAAGCATAGCCATGAGTTCTCCCTGCAACTGGACTGCATTTTAACTATTGTTTACCAGTCTCCCTTGCTCATCCAAAGTTCTTGAGTGCAAGACCATGTTCTGTTCATCTCTGTATCCCCAGAACCTATCATAGATCCTGTTGCTGCTCCATAAATCTTTATGGTCTGGATGAACATGCCACAGTATAAGGTGGGGTGGTGGGCTCCAAGAAAATGTTAATGGATTGGGGCTTATATGTAAGGGATGAACTGGGAGTTCATGTCAGAA